AGCCAATTAATTAACTGCATTAATTAACAAAGTAATTAGGAAACCAATTAACGGGATGGCCAAAAACCAAATCAATTAATTAGTGGCTCACCTGACTAATTACTAATTACAGTAATTAATAAACTAATTAAAGCATAATTAATGCAATTAATAAGCAAATTAATTAATTAGCACCTTAATTAAAAGGTTATTAATTATAATACATTGTAAGTATAAAATAAAAAGGTTCAGTTCTCTCTGCAAGGCCCTCCCAGTTCAGCCCAGTTCATCCCAGTCCCCTCCCAGTCCCTCCCAGTGCCTCCCAATCCCCTCCCAGTCCATCCCAGTAACCCCCAAACTGGGCCCAGTTCCCCCCTCCAGTCCCTCCCAGTTCATCCCAGTTTCCCCCCAGTGCTCCCAGTCCATCCAAGTTCATCCCAGTCCACCCCAGTGCCCTCCCAGTAACCCCTAAACTGGGCCCAGTTCCCCCACCAGTCACTCCCAGTCACTCCCAGTCCACCCCAGTTCCCTCCCAGTGCCCCTCAATCCCCTCCCAGTCCATCCCAGTTCACCCCCCAGTCCGTCCCATTAACCCCCAAACTGGGCCCACTTCCCCCCCAATCCCTCCCAGTCCCTCCCAGTGCCCCCCAACTCCCTCCCAGTCCCACTCCCAGTGCCCCCAGTCCCCTCCCAGTGCCCCCAGTGCCCCCCAATCCCCCTCCCAGTCCCTCCCAGACACCTCCCAGTCCATCCCAGTAACCCCCAAACTGGGCCCAGTTCCCTCCCAGTCCCTCCCAGTCCATCCCAGTGCCCCCAATCCTCCCAGTGCCCCCAGTCGCTCCCAGTTCATCCCGATCCTCCCAGTGCCCCCCAGTCACCCCCAAACTGGGCCCTGTTCTCCCCCAGTCCCTCCAGTGCCCAACTCCTCCCAGTCGCTCCCAGTCGCTCCCAGTGCCCTCAATCCCTCCCAGTGCCCTCCAGTCCCCCAACCCCCCCAGTCGCTCCTCAGTCCATCCCAGTCCATCCCAGTCACCTCCCTCTCCTCAAAGTCACCCTGCTCTGCCGCCCGCCGGAAACAACGAGTCGCGCCGGAACCGCCGGAGCGCCGCCGGAAGTGACGTCACCAAACCACCACCGAGCGGCACCTTCAAGCCTCGAGCGCCGCCTCTTGGAGGAAAAATGGCGGACGGGGGAAAACCAGACCAGACCGGAAGTGCCGCAGAAACGGCCCCGAAAAAGCCCCAAAAGCCCCGAAATGGCCCCAAAAAGCCCCGAAACGGCCCCGAAAAGACAAAAATCATCTCGGGTGGCCCAAAACACCATTTTCGTCCCCAACAAAAACCGAGGGCCTCAGATGGAGCCGAGAGGCACTTCCGCCCGGTTGTGGGCGTATGGCCTTGAGGGGATGGGATGTGTGACGTCATTTCCGCTTCCGCCAGGACACGCGTCGCCAAGGGCCCGCGTGGGAAAGGCCGCGATGAGACCCGGTCTGGAACTGGGATGAGACTGGGAGGCACACTGGGAGGCCACTGGGAGGGGGTTAGGGTAACTGGAGACTGGACTGGGAGGGGATTGGGGAACTGGGGTTAGCTGGGATGGACTGGGAGGGGGTTCAGAGGTAACTGGGATGGACTGGGAGAGAAGTGGGGGACTGGGGTTAGCTGGAAGGACTGGGATTAACTTTGGGGAGCGACTGGGAGGGGGTTTAGGGGTAACTGGGATTAACTGGGAGGGACTGGGAGGGAGGTGGGGTGTAGTGGGGGTAACTAGGATGGATTGGGACAAACACGAGGAATGGAGCTGGGAGGGGATTTTGGGGTAACTAGGATGGACTGGGAGGGGATTGGAGGGGACTGGGGACAAACTGGGAGTGACTAGGGAGGATTTGGAGGTAACTGGGAGGGATTGGGGGCACTGGGAGAGGGACTGGAAGGGGATTTTAGGAGTAACTGGTATGGACTGGGAGGGATTTGGGGGACTAGGAGTTAACTGGGAGGGGTTTAGGAGTAGCTGGGACAAACTGGGAGAGCACTAGGAACGACTGGGAGATTTCAGGGTAACTAGGATGGACTGGGAGGGAACTGGGGACTAGGAGGATGAGGAGAGGTTCAGGGTAACTGGGACAGGCTAGGGAGGGCTGGGAGGATTTTAGGTAACTAGGATGAACTGGGACAAACTGGGAGGGACTGGGAACGACTGGAGATTCGGTAACTAGGATGGACTGGAGAGGACTGAGAGACTGGAGTTAACTGGGAGGGTTTAGAGTAACTGGGATAAACTGGGAGGACTGGGGCAACTAGAGTCAGGGTTTAGGGTAACTAGGATGGACTGGGAGGAGAGGGATTGGGAGACTGGGAGGGATGGGGGACTGGGACAAGCTAGGGCGACTGGGGAGGGTTTAGGGTAACTGGGGACAAACTAGGAGGACTGGGAGCCGACTGGGAGGGGGATTTAAAGGTAACTGGGAGGGACTAGGAGCGGCTGGGGTTCACTGGGAGCGACTGGGGAGGGGTTTAGGGGTAACTGGGACAAACTGGGAGGCACTGGGAGCCACTGGGAGCGGCTGGGAGGGGTTTAGGGGTAACTAGGAGGCACTGGGAGCGACTGGGAGGAGGTTTGGGAGTAACTGGGAGGGGACTGGGAGGGAATTGGGGGACTGAGGGTTGCTGGGGAGGGGATTGGAGGGGGATTTGGGGTTAACTGGGAGGGACTGGGAGGGAACTGGGGGGAGTGGGGGTAACTAGGATGGACTGGGAGGAGATTGGGGAACTAGGGGTTAACTGGGAGCGACTGGGAAGGAGGTTTAGGGGGTAACTGGGAGGGACTGGGAGAGAAGTGGAGGCACTGGGAGGGGGTTTCAGGGTAACTGGGACAAATTGGGATGAACTGGGAGAGGGGTTGAGAGGGAGTGGGTGCTAACTGGGAAGGACTGGGAGGGGTTTAGGGAGTAACTGGGACAAACTGGGATGAACTGGGAGTGACTGGGAGGGACTGGGGGGACTAGGAGGGACTGGGAGGGGCTTTGGGAGTAACTGGGAAGGGACTGGGAGGAATTAGGGGAGACTGGGAGAGGAATTGAGGGGACTGGGGTTAATTGGGAGGGACTGGGAGGGCTTTAGGAGGCACGAGGATTGGAGGGACTGGGGTTAACTGGGAGGGACTGGGAGGGGTTTAGGGGTAACTGGGATGGACTAGGAGAGGGATTGGGGGGCACTAGGGAGGGACTGGGAGAGGTTTAGGGGTAACTGGGAGAGGGACTGGGAGGATTAGGGGCACTGGGAGAGGGTTGGGGGGACTGGGAGGGTTTAGAGGTAACTGGGAGGGATTGGGGGACTGGGGTTAACTGGGAGGGACTGGGGTTCACTGGGGGCGGCTGGGAGAGGGTTGAGGGTAGCTGGGAGCGACTGGGGAGGGTTTAGGGGTAACTGGGACAAACTGGGAGGCACTGGGAGCGACTGGGAGGGACTGGGAGGGGGTTTAGGAGTAACTGGGAGCCGACTGGAGGGGATTGGGGGCACTGGGGTTAGCTGGGGAGGCTTTGGGGGTAACTAGGACGGGCTGGGGATGAACTGGGAGAGGAATTGGGAGGAGTTGGGGAACTAGGAGGGGGGTTGAGAGTAACTAGGACAAACTAGGATGAACTAGGGAGGAATTGGGCGATTAGGGTTAACTGGGAAGGGGTTTAGGGGTAACTAGGACAAACTGGGATGAACTGGGGAGGGACTGGGAGAGAGGTGGGGCGTGGTGGGGGTAACTGGGATGGACTGGGAAGGATTGGGACAAACTGAGGATGGATTGGGAGGCGACTGGGAGGGATTGGAGGGGGTTTAGGGGTAGCTTGGGACAAACTGGGAGGCACTGGGAGGCGACTGGGAGGGGTTTAGGGGTAGCTGGGATGAACTGGGAGGGGATTAGGGGGACTGGGAGGGCATTGGGGGAAATGGGGGTAACTGGGAGGGACTGGGAAGGGTTGGGACAGACTAGGTACAAACTGGGATGAACTGGGAGCGACTGGGAGGGGATTGGAGGGGGATTTAGGGGTAACTGGGATGGAATTGGGATGGACTGGGACAAACTGGGATGAACTGGGAGGGGATTGGGGGGACTGGGACAAACTGGGAGCGACTGGGAGGAGTTGGGGGTAGCTAGGACAGACTGGGGAGGGGTTTAGGAGGTAACTGGGATGGACTGGGAGGCACTGGGAGGAAGTAGGGGACTGGGGTTAGCTAGGATGGACTGGGAGGAGGTTTAGAGGGTAACTGGGATGGACTGGGAGGCACTGGGAGGGAAGTAGAGGGACTGGGGTTAGCTGGGATGGGCTGGGAGGGGGTTAAGAGGTAACTGGGAGGGACTGGGAGAGAATTGGGGAGACTGGGAGGAGTGAGGGACTGAGGGTTAGCCTAGGGAGGGACTAGGAGGGGCTTGAGGGGAACTGGGACAACTGGGAGGCACTGGGGAGGCATTAGGGGGAGTGGGGGTAACTGGGATGAACTGGGAGGGGATTGGGATGGACTGGGACAAACTGGGATGGACTGGGAGGAGATTGGAGGGGGATTTGGGGGTAACTGGGAGGGGATTGGGGGGACTGGGACAAACTGGGAGCGACTGGGAGGGGATTTGGGAGTAACTGGGAGGGACTGGTGGGCACTGGGAGAGGGTTTAGGGGTAACTGGGAGGCACTGGGATGAACTGGGAGGCACTGGGGGGGCACTGCAAGGAACTGGGAGGATGGGACTGAAACTAGGAGGGGTTTGGGGGTAGCTGGGACAAACTGGGAGGTACTGGGAGGGGGTTGAGGGGTAACTGGGTCAAACTGGGACGGACTGGGAGGGACTAGGGGGCACTGGGGAGGATTTGGGGACAACTGGGATGTACTGGGAGGGGATTGGGGGGCACTGGGAGGGACTGGGAGGGGATTGGGATAAACTGGGAGGGACTGGGGGGGTGCTGGAGCCAAACTGGGAGCCTCCCAGTGCTCCCAGTCTGACCAGTTTGCCCCAGGTTTCAGCCCCGAGGTGTGCATGGCGCTTCGAGGCGAGGTGAGTCCCAGTATGGACCAGTATGGACCAGTAACGGCTCTGCTGGGAGCCCCAGTGCTCCCAGTCTGACCAGTTACCCCCCCAGTTCACCCCAGTTCTTCCCAGTCCCTGCCAATCCTCTCCCAGTTACCCTCCAGTTCATCCCAGTCCATCCCAGTTACCCCCCCCAGTTCATCCCAGTCCTTCCCAGTTTATCCCAGTCCCTCCCAGTCTGACCAGTTACCCCCCCAGTTCATCCCAGTCCTTCCCAGTCCCTGCCAATCCCCTCCCAGTTACCCTCCCAGTTCATCCCAGTTACCGCCCAGTGCTCCCAGTCTGACCAGTTACCCCCCCCCAGTTCATCCCAGTCTTTCCCACTTCATCCCAGTTACCCCCCCAGTTCATCCCAGTTCTTCCCAGTCCCTCCCAGTTCTTCCCAGTCCTTCCCAGTGCCCTCCCAGTATAACCAGTTCCCTTCTAATTCATCCCAATCACTCCCAGTGCTCTCCCAGTCCATCCCAGTATAACCAGTTCTCTTCTAATCCATCCCAATCGCCTCCCAGTCCTCCCCAGTGCTCCCAGTTCCCTTCCCAGTGCCCCCCAATCCTTTCCCAGTCCCTCCCAGTCCCATTCCAGTCCCCTCCCAGTATAACCAGTTTTCTTCTAATCCCTCCCAGTGCCCTCCCAGTCCCTCCCAGTGCTCCTCCAGTCCCTCCCAGTGCCCCCCAATCCCCTCCCAGTGCCCTCCCCAGTGCTCCCAGTTCCTCTCCCAGTCTCTCCCAGTCCCATTCCAGTGCCCTCCCAGTATAACCAGTTTTCTCCTAATGCCTCCCAGTACTCTCCAGTCCCCCAATCCTTCAGTCCCTCCCAGTGCTTCAATCCCTCAGTCCCTCCCAGTATAGCCAGTCCCTTCCAGTGCCCCCAGTTCCCATCCCAGTATAAACCAGTGCTCTCAATCTCTCAGTCCTCCCAGTGCTCTCCAATCCCTCCCAGTCCCTTCCTGTCCCAGCCCAATCTCTCTCAGTCCCCCAATCCCCTCCCAGTATAAACCAGTGCCCTCAGTCACTCCCAGTGCCCCAATCCCCTCCCAGTCCTCCCAGTATAGCCAGTCCTCCCATTACAGGCGGGGTTCCAGTCCACGGAGGGCGTGGCCAGAGGAGGAGGGCAGGGCCCGAGGCGGCAGGGGCAGAGCCAGAGGCGGCAGGGGGCGTGGCCGAGGCCGAGGGGCGGAGCCAGAGGAGGGGGCGGGGCCAGAGGAGGCCGCAGGGGGCTTCAAGGAGGCAAAAGTGACGGTGGAACCGCATCGGCACGAGGGTAACTGGGAGCACTGGGAGGGACTGGGAGGGGGTTGGGGGGCACGGGGAGGGACTGGGAGGGATTGGGGGCACTGGGAGGGACTGGGAGGGCATTGGGAGGGACTGGGAGGGGATTGGGAGGACTGGGAGGGACTGGGAGGGGATTGGGAGGCGCTGGGAGGGATTGGGAGGCATTGGGAGGGACTGGGAGGGGATTGGGAGGGACTGGGAGGGACTGGGAGGGGATTGGGAGGCGCTGGGAGGGATTGGGAGGGCATTGGGAGGGACTGGGAGGGATTGGGAGGACTGGGAGGGACTGGGAGGGACTGGGAGGGGACTGGGGGGATTGGGAGGCACTGGGAGGGACTGGGAGGGATTGGGAGGCACTGGGGGTATAACTGGGAGCACTGGGAGGACTGGGAAGGGATTGGGAGGGAACTGGAGGCACTGGGAGGGATTGGGAGTGAACTGGGAGGGGATTGGGGGCACTGGGAGGGACTGGGAGGGGATTGGGGGCACTGGGAGGGATTGGGGACACTGGGAGGAGGACTGGGAGGGGATTGGGGGGCACTGGGAGGGACTGGGAGGGACTGGAAAGGACTGGGAAGAACTGGGAGGGATTGGGAGGGACTGGGAGGGACTGGGAGGGGATTGGGGGCACTGGGGAGGGATTGGGGGCACTGGGAGGCACTGGGAGGGGATTGAGGGGCACTGGGAGGGACTGGGAGGGATTGGGGGGCACTGGGAGGGGATTGGGAGGGACTGGGAGGGGATTGGGGGGCACTGGGAGGGGATTGGGGGGCACTGGGAGGCACTGGGAGGGTAACTGGGATATACTGGGATGAACTGGGAGGGACTGGTGTCCCCCCAGGTGTGTTCATCTGCCGGGGCCGGGAGGACGCGCTGGTGACGCGGAATTTGGTGCCGGGGGAGTCGGTGTATGGGGAGAAACGGATCAGTGTGGAGGTGACTGGGAGCACTGGGAGGCACTGGGAGGGGATTGGGGGGCACTGGGAGGGACTGGGAGGCACTGGGAGGGGATTGGGGGGCACTGGGAGGGACTGGGAGGGACTGGGAGGGGATTGGAGGGCACTGGGAGGGACTGGAATGAAGTGGGAGGGCACTGGGAGAGAGTAGAAGGGCACTGGGATGAACTGGGAGTGACTGGGAGGGGACTGGGATGGGATTGGGGGGCACTGGGATGAACTGGGAGGGGACTGGGATGGATTAGAAGAGAACTGGTTATACTGGGAAGGGACTGGGAGGGCATTGGCAGAGAGTAGAAGGGCACTGGGATAAACTGGGAGGGACTGGGATGGGATTGGGAAGCACTGGGAGGCACTGGGAGGGGACTGGGATGGATTAGAAGAGAACTGGTTATACTGGGAAGGGACTGGGAGGGGATTGGGGGGCACTGGGAGGCACTGGGAGGGCACTGGGAGGCACTGGGAGAGAGTAGAAGAGCACTGGGATGACACAGCATCTCTACTGGTCTATACTGGTCAGTACCGGTTTCCCCTGGCCTATACTGGACTATACTGGTTTTTATTGCTCGGTACTGGTCCATACTGGTTTTCTTTGCTCCAACTGGCCCGTACTGGTCCGTACTGGTTTTTACTAGGTGATACTGGCCCTTAGTGGTTTTTACTGGAACCCGTTCCGCTCCAAGCTGGCCATGGCTATTCTGGGGGGCGTTACTGGTCCATACTGGTTCATACTGGTTTATACTGGTTCTAACTGTTTTTAACTGGTTTTAACTGGTTCCAGGATGGTGACAGCTCAGTGGAATACCGTGCATGGAACCCGTTCCGCTCCAAGCTGGCCATGGCGATTCTGGGGGGCATTACTGGTCCATACTGGTTTATACTGGTTTATACTGTTTTTTGCTGGTTCTAACTGGTTTATACTGGTTCTAACTGGTTTATACTGGTTTCAGGATGGTGACAGCTCAGTGGAATACCGTGCATGGAACCCGTTCCGCTCCAAGCTGGCCGCAGCCATTCTGGGGGGTGTTACTGGTCCATACTGGTCCATACTGGTTTATACTGTTTTTAACTGGTTTATACTGGTTTTAACTGGTTTTTACTGGTTCCAGGAGGGTGATGGATCCATCGAGTACCGTGCATGGAACCCGTTCCGCTCCAAGCTGGCCATGGCCATTCTGGGGGGCGTTACTGGTCCATACTGGTTCATACTGGTTTATACTGGTTTTTACTGGTTTATACTGGTTCTAACTGGTTTATACTGGTTTCAGGAGGGTGATGGATCCATCGAGTACCGTGCATGGAACCCGTTCCGCTCCAAGCTGGCAGCAGCGATTTTGGGGGGCGTTACTGGTCCATACTGGTTTACACTGTTTTTAACTGGTTTATACTGGTTCTAACTGGTTTTAACTGGTTTCAGGAGGGTGATGGATCCATCAAGTACCGGGCATGGAACCCGTTCCGCTCCAAGCTGGCAGCAGCCATCCTGGGGGGTGTTACTGGTCTATACTGGTTTATACTGGTTCTAACTGGTTTATACTGGTTCTAACTGGTTTTAACTGGTTCCAGGATGGTGACACCTCAATCGAGTACCGTGCATGGAACCCGTTCCGCTCCAAGCTGGCCATGGCCATCCTGGGGGGCGTTACTGGTCCATACTGGTCCATACTGGTTTTTATTGTTTTTAACTGGTTCTAACTGTTTTTAACTGGTTTTTACTGGTTTTAACTGGTTTTTACTGGTTTCAGGAGGGTGATGGATCCATCGAGTACCGTGCATGGAACCCGTTCCGCTCCAAGCTGGCAGCAGCGATTTTGGGGGGCATTACTGGTCCATACTGGTCCATACTGGTTTATACTGGTTTTAACTGGTTCTAACTGGTTTTAACTGGTTTTAACTGGTTTCAGGAGGGTGATGGATCCATCGAGTACCGTGCATGGAACCCGTTCCGCTCCAAGCTGGCCATGGCCATTCTGGGGGGCGTTACTGGTCTATATTGGTCCATACTGGTTTATACTGTTTTTAACTGGTTCTAACTGGTTTTAACTGGTTTTAACTGGTTCCAGGATGGTGATGGATCCATCGAGTACCGTGCGTGGAACCCGTTCCGCTCCAAGCTGGCAGCAGCCATCCTGGGGGGCGTTACTGGTCCATACTGGTTTTTACTGGTTTATACTGGTTTTTACTGGTTCTAACTGGTTTTAACTGGTTTCAGGATGGTGATGGATCCATCGAGTACCGAGCATGGAACCCGTTCCGCTCCAAGCTGGCCAGGGCCATTCTGGGGGGCGTTACTGGTCCATACTGGTTTATACTGGTTTATACTGGTTTATACTGGTTCTAACTGGTTTTTACTGGTTTCAGGAGGGTGATGGATCCATCGAGTACCGGGCATGGAACCCGTTCCGCTCCAAGCTGGCAGCAGCCATTCTGGGGGGCATTACTGGTCCATACTGGTCCATACTGGTTTATACTGGTTTATACTGGTTCTAACTGGTTTTAACTGGTTTTTACTGGTTTCAGGAGGGTGATGGATCCATCGAGTACCGAGCATGGAACCCGTTCCGCTCCAAGCTGGCCATGGCCATTCTGGGGGGCGTTACTGGTCCATACTGGTCCATACTGGTTTATACTGGTTCTAAGTGTTTTTAACTGGTTTTTACTGGTTCTAACTGGTTTTAACTGGTTTCAGGAGGGTGATGGATCCATCGAGTACCGGGCATGGAACCCGTTCCGCTCCAAGCTGGCCAGGGCCATTCTGGGGGGCGTTACTGGTCCATACCGGTTTATACTGGTTTTAACTGTTTTTTACTGGTTTTAACTGGTTTTTACTGGTTTTAGGATGGTGACGGATCCATCGAGTACCGTGCATGGAACCCGTTCCGCTCCAAGCTGGCAGCAGCGATTTTGGGGGGCATCGACCGCATCCACATCCGGCCCGGGGCGAAGGTTCTGTACCTGGGGGCGGCCTCGGGTACCACCGTGTCTG